AAGAGCAGCTTTCTGAAGAGTCTGCAATAAAGAATGTTACACGCAAAACTAAAACTCCTCCTTTCAGCGAAAATTGCTCTCCAAAATAACAAACAGCCGATTTGGTTTCCTACACCGAGCAGATTCAGATGGAACGCGAGCACCTCTGCTGACCCCGGGCCGCCGCGAGCCCGTAAATCAGGTGCTCGGACACCGACTTTCATTAATGACTTGGAGCTGGCTAAACAACTTCGGCTAAGAAAGTAATTACAAAGTAATATTATCTCGGCGGCTTCTCGGCTCGTCAGCAGTTACCCCCAGAACCAAGTTGCTCCGAAGTCACTCTTCCAACAAAACAAAACAGAAAGCCCGGCGCGGGCTGAGAAAACAAACGAGGCCGCCCCGAGCGGCCGCTCTCGCACCGTGCCGTGTCTCAGCCCGCTCCCTCCGCTCGGGCACCCCGCGGGATCCTCTGCCAGCCCCCTTTCGGCGCGGGTGCCCGGCTGATAATCACAGGCACTTTTCCGAGCTGTTCCCATAGGGGTAACGCGGGGACCCGCGTGCCGCTTCCGCAGTTGATTGTCTCTGCAGGCAATAAATTGGACCCAGCCGCACTACGGGATTTAATCAACCTGCAGAACTGCGCAGGAGAAATTACGGGAGTGATGGGGATGGGGAAAAATCCGAAGGCTATAAAGGTGAAGGTGGGGGCTATAAAGCCCTCACCTTCGCGCCGGGTTTGAGCCGATCCCGGCCCGGCGGGGCTCACTCGCCCCGGCCCGTCGCCTCCCCTCGCCCGGAGCCGCGAGCAGCGGTACGAGCAGCGCTGACAGCGCGGTACCGTGCGGGCTGCCGGCCCGCAGCTGCTTCTCGCTTCTTATCTCCTCCCTTGGCCCTCGGAGCAGAAGCTCAGCCTTCAACTCCCTTTCCCCCTTTTCCCTCTCCTTTTTTTTTTTTTTTTTCTTTACTTTCAGAAAACACTGACACTTTCTACATTACTTTTGGCCCGGTGCAGACTTTTGGTGACCTTCACAATGCAGCTCGGAGCAGAACGATGTTTTGGCCACATTTTCCGGTGTTGCCTGACCCAAAGCTTCAGGAATGTGATAAGAAAGCCGAGTTCTGAACCGAGCTGCCGATAGCGAGGTCTCTTTAATTAGGGCGTTATCAGAGCCGGGCCCGATTAAAACGTGCTGAAAATAATTGAAAGCTATACAGCTGCTGCAGCACGGGTCCCGACAGAGGACTCCAGCTGTGGAGGAGCCCAGCCGGGTGAAGGAGACGGGCGGACCAGAAAGGGAAAGCTGGGCAGAGCTTCCAAAGCCTTGCTCCCTACCCCCACGCCCCGGCCCGGACTCGGCTGAAGTGTCATCGCAGAGCCAAGGTAACGTCTTTCCCACGGTCGGGAGAACAGGCTATAAGCCCGGGAGTTCAACCTTGAGGAGAACGAAAACAAGAACGTTTTATCCGTCGCCGAGAATAAATCAATCAATGAATAGAAAAACGAGCACCCTTTGCCGAATTCCTCCTCGCCGAAGGAAGGAGCGCTACCCGGCCGGAGTGGGAGGGAGGGGCCGCGCTGCCCGAGCTCTGCCCCCCGCAGCAGGGCACGGCCACGCACACACCTGCTCACCAAGTGCGGGACCTGCCGCCCGCCGCCTCGGGGGCACTGCGGTGTGCTCCAGAGCTGCGGAGACGCCCGCACGGAGCCCTGCCGGGCCTAAGGCCGCAGCCAGGACGGGTGCCGTGCTTCTGAGCGTTAAAGGCTCCCCTTCGCTTTGAGGGCTCAGCAAGCTGAGGACACCCGCTCACCCACCCGCATAGGCCGAGGCTCGTTCCCTCACCCTTCTCGTCATTACATCTGCTCGGCCATTAAAACCGTCTCAGCTATCCGAAATACTTTCAGGTGTCCGAACAACACCAGCGGCCCCGTGCTGCGACGGCCACCACCGGGGTTGCTGCGTAGCTTCCCCAGCCGAGCCGGGCCCCGCGCTCCGCTCCCAGTTTTTCGACATGGCAGACCGGCAATGCCCGGGCCTCCTCTCCCTTCCCCGCCCGGGCCCACCTTCCTTCGCCGCCCTCCCGGGAGCAAAAGCACCCCGAAACGGCCGTGCGCCGGCAGACCCGCCACCCGCAGCATCACGCCTGCGGCCCGAGGCTGGGTGTCGGGCCGCGGAAGAGCGGAACGTCCGCCGGCAGCACGGAGCCGGCCCCGAGCCTCTCCGGTGAAGTCGGCTGCGAGAGCGCGGCTTCGGGCCCGCTCCTCCGGCCGCCCCGCCGCACCCGGGCAGCTTCTCCCGGCCGGGCAGCGCGGGGACGGAGCGCGGCGAGAGGCGCAGCCCGGGGATCCCCAGCGACAGCTCCGCGCGCTCTCCCTCCTTGCTCGCCTTAGCGCCGGCAGATGTTTACATTGCGGCCGCTGGAAGAAAAACCATTAGGCGATAACCCCGTTCCGTAGGCGGGGGCCGACCGATCGTTAGCCGCGCACCCACGCGAATTTCTGGGGGCAGCGCGAACCGCGGGGCCGCGACGCTCGCAGCCCGCCTCGTCCCCGCCGCGGAGCCGCCGGGAGGGAACCAGAAGCCGCCCGGTGGGCGCGGCCCGGCCCGGGGAGCCGCGCGGCGCTCCCGAGATCAGTCCGACGAGCGCCTGGAGAGCAGCACCGCGCGGGCAGCAGCCCGCATATTCAGGAGGAGGTAAACAAATCTACCCCCACCCTTTCAGTGCACGACTCGCGGAGGGAACGGGCTCGGGGCGGCGGCCCCATCTCCACGTCGGGACCGTCCCCAGCCCCGAGATACGGCCCCGAGAAGAGAGAAGGCTGCTCCGGCCAGGGCCCCACTGCGCCCGTGGAGCGCCGCCCGCGGCTCCCGGAGCTGCCCGGGGGGGCGCGGCGGCGGCAGGGATGCGGCAGGGGCCAGCCCGACGAACCCCGCACGACGGCCGCGGGCTCCGTGCGTGGGGCGAACTCCCGGCGAAGCTACAGAGGCGCCCGCGGGGCTGAGCCCGAGGCCGGGTGATCGGCGCCGCTGCCCTTACCCTGGTTGCGGATGGCTTGCTGGCTCTCCAGGCAGTTGGGCAGGTAGGGCCCGTTGGGGAACATCCTGGCTTGGCCGGAGGGTGGCTGGCTGGGCGGCGGGGCGCCGAAGGGCCCGTAGCGACAGGCCCCGGCCGTGCCCGTGAACTGCCCGGAGAAGTGGACGGTGAAAGCGCTCAGATACTGCTCCTCGTGCGGGTCCGACCCGTTCCAGCTGGGTTCCTGCTTGATGAAGGAGTGCGGCCCCAGCGAGCCGTAGGAGGCCCCCGGGGGGAAGTCCAGGACGGGAGCCCATTGCGCAGCGCTGCTCACCGGCATGGCGCAGTTGCTGTTGCCCGGTAGGGAGGGCACGGAGGGCAGCAGCGCGTTCAGGTCCCGGACGTCGGACCCCATCTGCTCGCAGACCTTCTGCCTGCCGCCGGGCAGCCAGTCTCCTCCCGGGCCGCACTTATTCCAGGACACCTGGCCTCTGCCCGCCAGACCGGAGGCCGGCTCCGGCTGCAGGCACCAGGCCGGAGAGCTCAGCCCCTTCGGGGAGGTTTGCTCTGCGACGCAGCTCCCCGGGTCCAGCCCGGCGGGAGCGGGCAGCAGCGACAGGGAAAGGTTGTTCTCCAGGATCGCCTCCGGGGCCGCGCCCGCTCGCAGCGCAGGGCGGGATGCGCGCGTGTCCGTGCGGCCGCGGCTGTGTCCGTGTGTCTGTCCGTGTGTGCCGGGGGGGAGAGGGGGGGGCACGGCCGCCTCGCACGCCTCACCTCGGCTGCCTGCTCGCCCTCAACTTTGCAAAGCTCAAATAGAGGCGCTCGCAGGGGAGGAGGAGTCAGCCGCGACGATCCTCCATTCACACAACCTTCGTCAAGGGGCTGCCCACAGCCCGCTCTGCTGAACGGACCCGGGCCAGCCGGGGGAGGGGGACGGGGGGGGGGGGCGCGGGGACGGAGGGGGAGAGGTTACTGTGGGAGAATATATCTTTCCTACGCATCCCTCCCACCCTTCCTCCGGTGCAAGCGCCACTAAATCTCACCCTAACATCCCTTCGCTTTGGGAGACGTGGCGAGACCGCCAGAGGGATGCGGGCGGCCCCGTAAGTACGTGCTGTGCCGCTTCCTGCAGCCCCGCGCACGTCCCGCGGGAGCCCCGAGGGCGGCGGGGTCGCAGCCCCGGGCACCGAGCGGAGAAGCCGCCACCCCTGCAGGACCGAGGGGAAGTGACCCGGCCCGGGGCGAGCCGACCCGGCGAGGGAAAGTGTTGTCTTTCCAGGTGCTCTCCCCGTGCGGGAGACGTCCGCGTCCCCCGAGCCGCCCGTGCCTAGAGGGGAGGAGGCGGCTGAGCCGCTGCGGGAGGACCGCAGCACAACGAGCGCCCGCTTCGGGGATTCACCCGGCACGGCTCCGGTGAAGACCCGCACTCTCCCTTCCCTACCCAACCCGGACGGCAGCTCCGCAGACACGAACCCGGCGGCACCTCACGCATTATCTCGGACGGCCCTCCCGGGCAACTCGGCGGGTGGGGGGCCGTTCCCGGCAGCCAGGGGGCCGCGACCTTTTCCCCGCCCCTACCGGCAGGGCGGACGGCGAGGCCCCCGGGACGTGGCCGTGCCTGCCGCGGCCAGGCGCACCCCGGCATCCAGCGCAGATACGAGCCCGCCGTCTCCCCCGATAGAGACTCACCGAGCGCGAATCCCGCCCCCCTCCTCCCGAAGCACTCGACCGGGCCGTCGGAAGGCTTAGCCCCTAGGGCACGCGTGTCACAGCTCCGCGGGGCCGCGTGTGGCTGCGCTCCCGTTGCGCTCCGCGCCCGGCCGGCCGCACTCTCAGCCCCGCGCCGCGGCCCCGGTGAGAAGTCGCTCCCCCGGAGCTGCGGTGCTAAAAGCGCCGCGAGGAGCGGTTACCTGCCGCTGCGACGGTGGGCCCCGATGTTCTCCGGTGGCAACTGGAGCTGCGGCGTTCCCATTCCCCGAGGCGTTAAAGTTACCGCGAAGCATCGCCGACCTCCAAACGATGTTTTGAGAACGTAAATGCTGCAACAAAATAAATCGAAACGGCCCGTTACCGGCGAAACCGAGTGTAATTTCACGTTGTCATTACACTGATTAACAACACCCCTAGGGTTCTGCTAACTAGCAGAATTTTCACAGGCTGTCTTTAGACAAATCGCTTTTAAATCGCCCTCTTTGATGTGTACATGAACGCGTTTGTTACAGAAATCTGCGCGTACGGTAAGAGCGAAAGGTTTCTTTGCCAATACTGAGTAAGTCTGAAGGAGCTGCTGCTCTCTGTGTGGACACCCAAAACGAATTCGATCTCGGGAGATGAGCGAGCGCAGCCCGCTCCCGCGGAGCGAGGAGACGCTCCTGTCTGCTCCCTTCTGCTCCCCTCTGCCCCCCCTCGCCCCGCTGTGTGCCCGCAGCCCGCAGCCTGCTGCTCCCGCAACCGCGGGGTCCCGGGCCCTGGAACGATGCGGGAAGGTCGGGGCTGCTGTTGGACCCGGTATTTTCTGCGATGGATCAACATGTGGAGTTGGTCCCGTTAACTGCCGGCTCCAAAATCTACAACGTACGTACTTAAATATAAATCCTTGTGCAACTTAAGCAGAGCATTTTATTTCCCGTGAAAACCAGACCTCTCTTGGTACAAACAGAAAGCGTTCCTGTAACGGAACGTTTCTCTACTCTGCACGTTTTTTCCTTTTTTTTTTTTTTTTCTTTTATTTTTTTTTCTTCTTTTTTTAATAGCCTAACTTGAGAAATATTCTGGAAAGGGAGAAACGTTTTCTCGATCGCTTAGGTCTGCGTTATTCCGCCCGGGAAGAATACTGAAGCCCTTCCAAATCTTCTCCCGCATTCCCAGCACACACGGCCGGGCGCTGAAGCAAGCAGCTCCCTCGGGCATCAGCGCATCTCCCTCCCGGCGGCCCCGGCTCGGCCCGCAGGGACGCTGCGGAAAGCACCGCGCCCGGCACCTGCACCTCCCGGCACGAGGCAGCCCGCCGGGACACCGGGCGGTGCCGGCGAGGAACGGGCGGACGCTCCTCGGAGCCGAACTGGGACGCGGCTTCAGCCGACCGGGGCAGCGCGAGAAAAGGGGAGGGCTGGAGACGTCAGGGAAGGAGCCGGAGTCAAATCGGCTCCCGCAGCCGTTTCCTTACAGTCAACACAAGCGAGAGGTAAAAGCTCCCGCCCCCGCTGCGGGGTCGAAAGCGGCCCGGGGCCGCGCGTCTCCTTCGAACGGTGCGGGCACACCGCTCGCGTCCTGTCCGGGGTCCCGCACCCCGCACCCGGGGCCCTCCGGCGAGACCGCGCCGCGCCCCGCAGCCCAGAGGTCGCATCCCGGCCTCGGCGCGGCTCAGAAGAACGCAGAGCTGGCGGCGCCGGGCACGGCGGCCGTTCTGCCGGGGTACCGACCCACACGGCCGCGACCTTCCCACCCTCTGCCCTCCAAACTCGGTCCGATCCAAATCTCGGGCGGGCAGAAAGATGGCCCAATGGCTTTAACCGGTAATTCCCGGGAAACGATCCACGTCCGATCCTGCTCACGGGCTAACGCTACGAGACCAACCGACGGGTATTTCTGGGACGGGGTCGTTGTGCTGGGAAAAAGGGGCTCGTGGAGCTGCTCCCGAGCCATGAAGCGCCTCCCAGGCGGCGTTCCGCTCTGCGCCGCCGTGCCGACCAGTTAACGGCCCGGCCGTTCTCACCACGCTTTACTAAGCTCCATAAACGATCCCCTCGCGGCTCGAAGCGGGGGGAGTCTGGCTTAAACAGAGATAAATCCCCGGCGCTGTCGGAGCCGCTCACGGCACGCAGGGGGATCTGTCTCCTTTCACTCGGGGAGCCGATCAGACTTTGATTACTTAAGCGCCAAGAGCAGCAGAAGCAGGGCTGCGAGCCGCTCTCCAGGAACGCGGAGAGGCAGAGAGAGGCGGCAGGATCTCACGGCGCGGCCCGACCCGGCGCTCCTCGCGGGAGCGGATTCGGGCTGGGGAAACCCCGGGCCGCCCGCAACGCCTCGCAGCGCCCCCCGGGGGCGGCGGCTCCGCTCGGCCCTAGGCCCCGGTGCCGGTCTCGGCCGGACGCCGGAACTCGGGCCGCTCTTCCACCGTAAATCTCCGCAACGCTGGAACTAATTACGGAGGGACGCGTCTCAATTTGTTCCGCATTAGCGCCGCGCCGGACCGCGGGCACCGAGCGCGGGAAATTGATGAGCCGAGCCCCGGGCGGCCCGCCGGCCCTGACCCCGCGCTCAACCCGGAGAGCGGCGCGGGGCGGGCCGGGATCCGCGCTCCGCCTCCCGCACCTGCGGGGCCCCGCGGCCGCACGGCGCTGCCGTCGGCGCCCGGATCGCCGCGCCGCAACGCCGAGAGGCACGGGGCGGGCGGCGTGCTGCTGGGAGCCGGCGCTGGGAGGCTGTCGGTGCGGGTCCGGCCCCGGCCGAGACGCTGGAGGATGGAAAGCCCGCAATCCGCGACGCCGTTCGGATCCGGTATATGTGGCGTATTGAAAGTCTCAGTGATGCAAGGGAAATACTCGTGGAGCAGCTAAATTGATGAAATAGAATTCTTACAGGTTTTCGGTACTTAGACAAGAAAATGAAGGAAAAGAAAAAGCCCTTAGATATATAAATAGAAGAAATATCCAAGTTTTCGCATGATCCCCAGTGGTTCGGAAGTCATTAAAATTATTATGTTTGGAGGGGAAAAACAAAAACAAACTACAGTAGAACGCAGCACATGGTACAAACGGATACATGGAAACCGAGAGTAAGGAATTCCTATTTCCCTCTCGTAGAACGCAGATTTCGCTACGTAGGTTTACTTCACTCTAAATGTAATGCTACAGAAGGAAATCAGGAACGGTCCCTGTTACGTACACAGATACTAAGAGTTCTTCGAGCTCCCTGGAACGTTGCCTTTGAGCACAGACACACATCCGAGATGTAAAAGAAACATTTACAGATTCAGAAGTGATAGGAAACATCCTAACAGATGTGCTGTGCTCATTGCCACACTGCTGTCCTTGTGGTCACCAGTGGGTAAGCAGTGGCCGACTGCAGCTGACACCAGCAGCAGCCTCAGGTCTGGTGCCTGCAGGGTGTTGCAGAAAGGGCACAGAACATGAATCGCTCCGTCCTGGATTCTCCTGCAGATCTGACACAACCATGTTCTTCTTAATACTAGCTGTGCCTGCTTTCATGTTACAACAGTGTCACTGTGGAACAAGCACACTGCAACGGCACAAGCAAAGTCTGTATCTCATTTTGTTCTTTCAAAGCCCCTTTTAGCAGCGACCCTGCACAAAGATACTCCTTCCACCAGCCCTTCTCAGGGGGAACAAATGGTGCTTCGGGGAGGTTGCTCTGACTTGAGCTGAGATCTCAGCGCTTTTCTCAGGATTCTGTTCTAATCCCACAGACTTCAGAAGAATTCGTGCACAGAAGCACCTGACTGAGGGTGCTTCAGGGTAAGAGTGGTCACTGAAATCAGAGCTGGAGGACTTCAGTGCATCGGGCTGTAATGCCTTGCCGCAAGGGGAAAGCAGGCATAGTCTCTTTGACCACAGATGCCCAGGACACAGGGTGCAGCCCTGCAGCTTCATTAGGAACTGAGCACACCTGGTCCTGTGCTTATTGGCAGTCATATGAAGGCACACCTCACTTCTGTCTCTGGACTGTATGCATTGATATGTCTGGATTGCAGCAAATAAGCTCATTTTTTCCCTCATCCAGTCAGCTAGAAGCAACAGTCAGCAAAAGTGTAGCTCCGATCAAAGTGGGAACTTTGCCAGTTCTTTACTCTGAAACTTCCCAATGTATTTTTTGTTTGAGGCCAAAGATTTACAGCCAAGCCCTCTGTTATGTGCTGTCACTGCTGTGTGTGATACCTGGCCCAGCAGTTCCATGACACCAGTGCCTCTGCCCAAGAGAGATCTGCTGCAAGCAGTGGCAGAGTCTGGTGCGGTCTGTAGGGCTGACTACAATTAACTGGACTGTGCAGGTGCCTGCATGGCTCTCATCAACATGTCACTGCAGGATTTGGCTGTTCTCACATTTGTGACAGTTGTCATTCAGCAGCAGCCTCCGCTGCCCTCCCTGCAACCAACAGATTTGTCTTGCCAAACTCCTTCTGAGACTCATGCACGGACAGCTGGAGATGAAGCTTGTGGGGAGAAGTGCAGGAAGAAAGGAGAGAGAGGGAGCCCATGTGTTGATCTTGCCTTTGAAGTCAAATTTATTTGTTATGAGACACAAGGGACTCCTTTCCCTTCAGATCTGAAGGATGCCCTTACATTCACTTGAGTACTGTTATGACCAAAGAGTTAAAAGCACCAAGATCTTGCTGTAGCCATGGAACCAGAGACTCTTGCACCATTCGTCTTGACAGCTTCCTTGTTTCTCCCTCCTCTTACATCGTAGCAGGGTTCAGTGAATTACGGATCAGAACTAAGACTTGCTTTTGTGATGGCTCAACAAACTCTCTTGGAGTACTTTACATGCTAGCTGAAATGAAAGAAGCAAAACAAGGAAAAAAAGAAACCTTGCCAACTTGTTATACACATATATGTGTTTAAGTGAAACAATGAAAGGAACAGCTAAATAAGTGTGACTCCTTTCTGGGGATCACGCGATCTCAGATTAATTGCTCCATGAACAGATTTGCAAGTAGCACCATAATGCTAATCAGGATATTTTAAAAGTTTATGAGCAGTTGCTTAGGAAAAACAAGATAAAGCCTATGGAAATCTGATACTGGTCAACAGTGCATTTATTCAAAACATAATACTGACATCAAGTCTCCATAAATCCTTTGCAAATGAAACTTCCATTGTGATCACTGTTCCAGATCTCAATGATTTATTCGTTTTTTCTTTGGTAGACATTGGGTATATCTCAGAATGCACAAGTTATGCACCCACTGACACAGAGTTCATCATGCCCCACGAGGTAATACTTTTTAAATTCAAATAAAATAATTCAAATGAAGAAGTATTCCTACAATGAGTTTTTTTAATTATTAGTGGATTAGCGTACACGAAAAAACTAACTTTTTTTGTGATTTGCTTCAAAACTCGGGGC